CTGTTGTTAATGTTTAAATAAGCAATCATCTTGGGATCAGGAATGGATTAATCCATTTTACATTGATTCCTATTGGAAAAATAGTTTCAGTTTACGAACATTTCAGGTTACGAACAGGCTTCAAGAATGAATTAAATTAGTGAACCGAGGTTCCACTTCATATTTTATCTTTGATTAATCTAGATGTTCTTTGCAAGTGCATTAAAAAGGAAAGAGATTAGATTGAAATATAAATATATCATGTTAGATATAAGCATTTTTTTTTTATGATTATACTCTGGGTTCCTTGATATGCATGTGTGTACATGCACACATATGTAAGGGTGGATCAATATGCCTGTTGCCTGAAACGTGGTTATTAACTGAAATTTTGACCCAAAATTTCATTGTATTATGTTCAGTCTATAGAAAAGCATTGGATTGAGTGCAAGAAGGGGAATGATTTTGCAAAATATTTGTGTGAAATAAATGCTGTTTTAATTTTCATCATTAAGCTATGGCAGATTTTTCCTGCAGTAGGTTGCCATTTCTTTCTACAGTAACCCAGTTGCTATCCAAGGCTATAGAACCTGGTCTGTCCTTCTATTTACCCATAACTGGGGGGAGAAGAGGATTCATACCTTTCTCAGGGGTATTAGCACGTAAGTGAATGTAATGGATTTGACTGTAATTCAAACTTTATGTCCGATTCCTCAATCCGAGCCGTTATCCATTACTCCACCTGCCTCATCAGTCATGTATTGAAAGATACATGATCACCTAAGCGTGTATCACACATGACACATAACTGACTGAAGCTATGGACTTAATGGTGGACCTATCTATTCTCAACAGTACATTATATGCAAACTGCAGCCTGTTGGTTTTCAGAATAGTATGCCTGATTTCATGAGGAAAATAAGCTTTATTAGGATTTGGTTTCAGCTCATCGTCACTTGTTCACTCACATTTCCTCATACATAAACAATGATTAAGTACAATGTTTCTTGAATTTTATAAACTTTTAACTGAAGTTAACATTTACAGAATTTTAAACCATTAGCTATTTTCACTAAGGAAGATCATATTTTTCCTTTTGCAAACAGGAAATGTTATATTTTTTTTCTCTGGAGAAGAAATAATTTTTTATTTAAAAAAAAAAAATAAATAAAAACAAAATTTGTATTTTCAGATGAATTAAAAGCAAATGACATACAATAACATGTTAATTACACTGTCATTAATGATATATCATGTCTTCAAGTTTTTAATTATAGAAAAATATTTTTTCAAAGAAAAAAAAAATCAATTTTTTCCCTATTTCTAAGGCAGATTACTTACATGTATAGTCTTCTGTAAAAACTGCAAAATTATCTTTGAAAAATTCCCTTACTGTTTTGTTTTTGATAGCATATAAAATACTGTAAAAGTTAAATACTTATCTGTATGAAAGCATTTTTTTATATAAGAATCAATAAATTTGTAACCTGATATGTAGTTAACAGAATTATGATTTACAGTTTTCACTGTTTAATGTTCATTCTATTTGTTTAATAGAGAAGCATTAGGTTATTGTGGCAAATGCACATCAGTACAGATGCAAAAAGCCCTGGATCGCATGTGGAAATATCTGTCAAAACAAGTTACATCCGGGTTTTCCCCCAGATGTAACATCTTGGCATGTTCAGATACAGGCCTCCCTGCAACTTGTCTAGATTCAAGTTTCTGTCGACTGTCAATAAAAGCAATGGGAAAACCAGCAGTAACGAGTGGGCAGTTGGCAAGACTCGGTGTCTTGTGAGGTTTGTTTCATGGGCATTTTGTTTCAAATGTTACTGTGCCTTCTTAGGCAGTATCATTTTGTTACCTCCCATTTCTTTTCTTTTTCTGTCTATTACCCCTGTAGTGGTTGGGAGAGCAATTGGTTAGGCATTTCCCCCACCCTCAATATACCCTTTCTGTATTTTGCAACAGTTTAAAAAAAAAAAAAAAAGTAAATTTGCTGTGTAAAATAAATGCTTTTTTTTTTTTTTTTCATCATTAGGATATGGATTTTTTCCCCCCAGCTATGGATAAAAAGCAGGACAGACTTGATACTATTGCCTTGATTGGTGACTAGTCTAGAAGAAGTAAAACTGAATTCAAACCAGTCTGGTGTGTGGCAGTAGTACATGTGGTGCTCCTATGACCTTAATGGGTCATGGGATCCATGATTGTGTTCTACAGACTAATTTGTGCATGTGTATACATAGACACACACACAAACATATATTGTCGACTATTCCCTTGTGTAACATGATTCTCACTAGGTGCCCTATTATAAAAAAAAAAATGACAATGTATAGCAGTGGTCAGTAAGCTGTTTTTGCAAATCATCTGCTTCTCCCATATATTTCTTGGTCACTCTACAATTGAAGCCTTGCTTCATAATAAACTAAGCTCATATACTTGTGTAAATTTTGGTGTTCTAAAGGAAATAATTATTTCTGGGTGAAGGAAAACATTGGATGAATATTTGGTGATGCCACAGTATTTCTATCTTGCACATCGCTACATGATACAAAGCACCACCTGCTGGTCATTGTCATGCAACCAATGAGTGGGCATGTGAATTGATTTCCTGATTTCTTTGCTAGGGACAGCTTATTGTGGCTAAACAGACAGCGAGACAGAAAGTAGAGGGATTGGGTCTCTGCACCAGTCTTGGTTTTGTGTCAGTTAATTCTTGTGCTGGGCTTCCAGTAGTAGGGGGTCCAAAATATTAATCCTATGGCAGACATCCTCATATCATCTGGGGATTGATTTTTTTGCTGCAATGTTGTGAATCTCTGCTTTCTTTTAAGAGGTTAAATTCCAAGGAAGGAGGAATTCTGGCTGGGTAAATGTAGGGAGTGGGAAATTATATTATGTCAGAGCTGGGATTGCAGAATCTGAGGGGACTGTCATGTAATGAAATAAGAGTGGGATTTAATTTATTGTGACTTGAAATAGTGCTGAAGGCATGGTTGGTATTTAATGGATTAGGGGTGAGTAATCCAGTGTTGATTTAATTATCCCATCTCTGATGTTAATAAATGATTTTTGTAAACAGTAATTATATCTAGTGATTACTTTAAGATTTTACCTGTCATGTATAAAAGAGATTGCTTTTATAAATTTAAAATGGTGCATGTTGTAACTTTGTTTCTTATCTCTTTGAATCATTTATTTTAAATGTTTATTATTCTGTATGATAACTATGAACTTTACTTATATTTTGTAGGTTTTTAAAAAAAAAAATTAAAGAATTATCCATACAAAGTGCCATATTTGCCTTTGCTTAACGCGCACACTTATATAAAGACCTCCCCCTGCCCTGCCCAATTTTACAAGGATATTTTGTGGGGAAAAAAGTTTTAGTAGGTTTCACCATATATTTATTGAAATATATTTTTAAATGGTTTTGTCAGGGGGAAAATGTATGATTTTGTGCCTACAAATACAGTATTGTAACAATTGACTGGAATAAAATATGGAATCCTATATTGTAACTTTAACCTTCAAAGGAAATTAAATTTGCTGAAGCAGAAAAATAGAGGTATATTTGTATCAGTGATATATAAACATTCTATTTAAATTCTAGATATGGTAATATACTAATGTTTCTTAAAGGTAACAGCCATTAATGATATAACATACCATATATCTCATGTGGGTTGTGTATGTGAGGTGATATGAGCTTACCTATTAACGGCTGATGTAATGTAAACAATTTGATGTAAGTTTGTACCAATAGACTAATGATTTTTTTTTTTTTACTAATAACAATGTCTAGCAGACTTCAGCTCATCTGATGCTCTACCCTACTGCTACAGAACTCAGTCATCTCCCATTTGTAATATTGCTGTATTAGACGCAGGGTGTTTTTTGGTGCACTTAATCATAAAAGAATTTTTTTTTAAAAATGCGTCTTATACAGAGTCAAATATGGTACATATGAGAAACTGAATATGAACCTATTTTGAGCATCTTATTTTTAGCAACTGACTTTGCACGTGGCATTTATATCAGCTGACAGATAAATTGCAGTGTTGCCAAAAGCAAAAAGGATTTAATTAGTAAAACGAGATCCTGACATATCAGGCAAATATCTGATGGCGATTATTAGATTAAGATCGCCCACAAGTGACTTCATTTTCGTCAACAAAAAAACATTTGGATGTTTGCAGATTAACAATTAACAAACTTAACGCAAATGGATTAACTGTTCCTTTATTGAAAGCTTTGCTTTCTCATTTTGTGCATTTTATGCTCTATTGATATACGGGTTATTTATTGGACTAACTCAACTCTGACACAAGGCTAGATCTGTGGAGGGCCCAGTAAGGATTAAGACTACTTGCAATGGCTTGCATGACTAGGGTGCTATCCACCATAATATTGCAGGTAATCATCCTTTGTATAACAATTTTGAAATGTAAAACAGTTTTCTCATACTTGTTGTTATTTCATCTGTAGAAAAATTGTTAAAATTTGGACTAACATTACTGTAATTAGAATAGCTTTTTACCAGCATTAATTTCAGGTAATTAACATTGAATGCTATGTAAACTGAACTTGATAGAAAATAATTGTTTAAAAATGATTAAACCAATACATTAATCATATTTATGTAGATCAAAGCAATACATCTTTTTGTTTTCTTTCTTTATTTCTAAGTGTGAGAATTTATGTAAAGCATTTACTCAGATATATAAAAATATTGTCTTTCTTGAGTTTTAAAAATAAAAATGCTCATACTTTATAAAAATATTGAATACTTTCATCTGTAAACTTTCAGAGACAACCAATGTATCATTTTTTATATATATATATATATATGGGCAGCAACCTTTCTTATAAATAACTTTTATTAATTTGATTATTTAGTTTTTCCAGCATTCTTACCTTTTTCTGTTTGATGGGAGTAAGGAAGTGCAAAAATTTTCCATAATGTGCATTGTCCCAAGCACTTTCTTCCACTTTTTCTTAGCCATTTTCAGGGTTTTATTGCTTTTTTTTCTTTTGTTGTTCTTTTTCATTCTTTCGTCGTTCTTTTTCATTCCTTTATTTTTCCTTTCTTTTTTTCTCCTTTCTTTTTTTCTCCTTTCTTTTTTTCTCCTTTCTTTTTTTCTCCTTTCTTTTTTTCTCCTTTCTTTTTTTCTCCTTTCTTTTTTTCTCCTTTCTTTTTTTCTCCTTTCTTTTTTTCTCCTTTCTTTTTTTCTCCTTTCTTAGTGGTGTTTGTTTTTATCATTACCCTCCTTGATGTCATCAGTTTCCAACTCTGTATTTATGCTGTGTTAATAGTGAGTCCAATTGGTTTGATAAAGTAAAACTGGCATCTGATCTTCAAAATGACACCCAATCAGATGTTAACTGGAACAAGAATCATAAAGAACCCTTTCCACCTTCCATCAGCATGGCTGATGCTAACCTCCAATTGAGCAACTCATTGCATCTTCTTGGTCTCACATTTTCCACTGACATGAAGTGGACTGATTGAATCAATTGCTAAGTCTTCTGCTAGGAAAGTTGGTTCACTGTGTCATGCCAGACCCTTCTTCTTGTCAGAATCAATCTTGGACATTTTATAAATCTATCATTTTTCCATGTATTAACTATTGCTGCTATATTTGGTCTTGTGCCTTGGCTATATATCTCAACATCCACAACAAAATTCATAGATGGATCTGTAATGTTATTGATTGTGGCCTAGCATCTCGACTTCAGTCACATTCCTACCACTGTGACGTGGCTTCCCTGTGCCTTTTCTAAAAATATTTTCATTAAATTGTTCTAATGAGCTTTCATCCATGGTATCTCAAACACATGAATTTAAGCTTACTAGAGTGGCAACTAGGTCTCACAATTTTACTGATGGAATAGTTAGATTTAACTATGTTTTATTCTAATAGATTATTCTCTCATATTTCTTGCTTGCAGAACACTTTCCTGGTTTCATGCTATCTTTTGTCTTCCTAATAGCTGTTCTTTTATTGTCTTTTCTTCTCATTAATATTTTCTTCAATTCTCAATAACTCATGATTGGCTTGCTTTGTGAGGAAAAAAAAAAAATAAGGAATATGATGGAATAGTAAATTTGTAACAGTTTGGAAAAAAATTTTGACTTGTTTCACCAACCAAACAGCATTACAAAAATCAATTTCATTTCAACTAAATTTAACAGATTTATTTAAAATCCATTTTTCTGATGTTTGGTTAGTGAAATGTGTCAATAATTAGTTTTTTTTTTTTTTTTTTTTTTTTAAATGGTCACACATTTATCATGGTCATATTCTTGACCAGATTTAAATTATATAGGAACATGCCAATCCATATGTAAACAATCTGCTCATTTTTTATGGGTACTATACTAATCTATTATATAGTCTGACAAAAAACATATACACACTTCAGGAAAAGAAAAACTTGTATGGATAGTTTAATACTAAATTTTATTCAGACATTACTACAAGTTACTTTTGGACTCTATATTCACACTAGTGATGCTAAAAATGGTTGCCTTCAACTTCTAGACATTGATTTATTAGTACAGCAAACTACTGCTTAGACAACATTGATCAAAGTATCCAGTAGAATTGCTACACATGCATTTTCAATTTCTTGTTAAATGGCCGGCAATGTAATACCATCTGTCAAGAAAATATCGTACAACAGTAAACAGTGTTATCGCAATTTGATAAAACTTTGAAAGACAAGGTTTTCCTTTTCCAAAGTGTATATACATATTTTTTATGGACTCTCTGTGTGTGTGTGTATATATATATATATATATATATATATATATATATATATATAGGGAGGAAGTTACTTATTGACACTGATCACTTTCAGACAGGAAAGTTTTAAATAACGACAGCCAACTGATAACTTATACCGATGAAAATAAATTTAAATGTAACATAAAAGATTGTGATAATAAAGGATTACGTAGAATATAATACAAAATGGTTTGATATCTGGATTTGTGCTAAGTGGTGGCATTTGTCTGGTAAATGGATCTGCTGTGTTAAGATAAGTTATGTAATTCTTGAGCATGAGAAAGAAAAAAAAATGTGTGTGTGTGTGTTTCCCTTAGACCCCCACACGCACACACACCATTCTTTGTATTCCATTGGTAAGTAGGAAGTTCCATTCTTGTAGCTTTTTCCCAAGAGCTGCTACATTATGAAACAAACTCCTGAGAGGATGCTTCCCCAAACACTACAATTTTGACTATTTCAAGTCTAGGCTCAGTTGTTACCTATCATATATATATATTCTCACAATTTGTACTTACTTCTACCTTCTGTATCTCATTTAGTAACTGCCTACTTTAAGTGTCTCTTTGGTTTTGTATTCGGTAAGCATTTAGTAAAACACACAAGGAAGGTGACTTTGTGGTACCCAGGGTAAGTTTCAGTTGAATTTTGCTGTAGATATATAAGTTACTATTGAGGATAAACTTCATAAAGAAAACTACTTATATATATATATATATAT